GTGCATGACTTTGCTCCGAGGGAAGAAGCGTGGAGAGGTCCACATGGTGAGGAACTGAAGCCTTCAGCCTACAGTCGTGGGAACAAGGTTGGAAGGTGATCTACAGCCCCAGGCTTCTGAGATTGCAACTCAGCCAACAGCTGACTTCAGCTTCATGAAGACCCTGAGTTAGAAGCATCCAGCTAAGCCACTGCCAGATTCCCAGTCCTCAGAAACTGTGTGAGAGAGTGAATGCTCTGTTGCTTTACACTGCTAAAGTTTGGAGTGATTTGTTACCCAGCGAAAGATCATTAATGTATCAAGATACAGTGTAACACAATGTATCTGCTCAGTATACTTGTTTCCCAAACGAATTCGGTCTCTCATTATCTGAGACAGAGAGAGAGAGAGAGGGAGGTCATGAGCATGAATAGGGGGAGGGTAAGAGGGAGAGGGAGAAGCAGAGTCCCCGCTGAGCAGGGAGCCTGACTCAGGGCTCAGTCCCAGGACCCTGAGATCATGACCTGAGCCAAAGGCAGCTGATTAACTGCCTGAGCCACCCAGGTGCTCCCCCAAATCAATTCTTTGATGTAGGAACTTTACACTCCCATTTTACAGAAATGGGAACCGCAGCACAGAAAGAGCAGGTTACTCTAAATCACCCACCCCGCTAGTAACATCAGCGGGTCTGTCTGCACAGCCCTCACCCCTAACAGGGAATTTCACAAGCCTTCCCTGTACCAGGTGAGGGGCAGAGTCAGCCTGGGTTTTGTTTTGTTTTGTTTTGTTTTAAAGAGAGAGAGCGAGCGTGTGAGCATGAGTAGGGGGAGAGGGAAGGGCAAGGGAGAAGCAGACTCCCCGCTGAGCAGGTAGCTGGCCTGCGGGGCTTGGCCCCAGGACCCTGAGATCATGACCTAAGCCTAAGGGAGACGCTTAACCGACTGAGCCACCCAGGCGTCCTAGCCTGGCTTTGTTTTTTCATCTTACCAAATGCTCACCATAGAGTGAGGTGGAGATCATTGTAGAGAATACCACCCACCAACACTGGTAGGATGCCTTCAAGTTAACAAGACATTAATGTCACACTTACCTATGAGGTAGGGAGGACTGATTCTGGTTTTCTTTTTTGGGGGGGAGGAGGAGAGGTTGTTTGTTTGTTTGTTTTTTAAGTAGGCTCCATACCCAACGTGGGGCTTGAACTCACCACCCTGAGATCAAGCATCGCATGAGCCAGCCAGATGCCCCCAGATTCTGTTTTCTTATCTCCAATTCAGAGATGGGCAAACTCAAAGCTCGGAGTGGATAAGGGCTTTGCCCAAATCCAAACCTCACCTGGCAGTGGCTGGCGGGCGGAGCTGGGGCTTGAACACCTGCTCCTCCACCCCACGGGCTACTGCCTAGTCTCCTTAAAGAAGGGTGTGGTTGCTGAGGTTGCAGAAGGTCGTCCCCATACCCATCACAGGAATGGGTGTGTGGTGGGGGGCCTCACTGGGGACGCTGGAAGCTGTCCCCATTCAGGGAAAAGGAAGGGGAAACCCTCTCTTCTCATCCCACCCCGCCCTCCCCTAGGAGGTTCTCCCACAGGACAGATAAGGGGTCAGGAACGCTACTTTCTCTGGGACTCCCGGCCCTTTGGCCTTTCACCCTAAATGCACCACTAGCTCTTGCCCTCTCTGGAAGTGAGAGCCGTGTGGCCACCCCTCCCAGTTCTAACACTGCCCACAGTTCTCTTCCCATGGATTAGGTCGCAGCTACTAAGGGCTGAGCTCTTTTCTTGATGAACAAAAGAGGACAAAATATGGACTTTGAAAACAGCAAGAGGGATTGGGGTTAGAACTGAGAGGGGACTTCCAAACTGATTCCTTATAGCAGATGGCCAAGAGAGGTTGTAGGTAGTATCTTCCCTGTTTTTATTTTTATTTTTTTTATTTTTTATTATTTTTTAAAGATTTTATTTATTTATTTGACAGAGAGAGACATAGCGAGAGAGGGAACACAAGCAGGGGGAGTGGGAGATGCAGAAGCAGGCTTCCCCGTGGAGCAGGGAGCCCGATGTGGGGCTCGATCCCAGGACCCTGGGATCATGACCTGAGCCAAAGGCAGACGCCCAACGACTGAGCCACCCAGGCGCCGCTCTTCCCTGTTTTTCGTGGAGAGTTTTATTTCTTTATTTTAACTGAAGTGTAGTTGACATATTATATTCGTTGGGGGTAAGTCGCATAGTGAGTCAACAATTATATACGTTGCAAAATGCTCACCACCATAAATGTAGTTACCATCTGTCACCATACAAAGTTAGTATAATCTTACTAAGCATATTCTTTCTTAAAGATCTCTCTGAACAGTATCTTGGTCTGAGGGGTCTTGGGGCTGATGTGGGCAAAAATGTTTGGGACCACGACTGGGTTTGCGACATGACTGGGGAGGAAAGCTGGAGGTGACCCTTCTAGGAATCCAGGATAGACCCGATGACTCAGCAAAGTTTGTCCCTCGGTCTCCTCTGCAGGAGAAGAGTATAAATCTGCCACCTGGTGTAGGAGAGCTCAGAGAGGGGTGTCCGCCTTCTGAGTCAGCCGGGGAGCTTGAAGACCAAGTGAACCTCCGAAGCAGAGTCCCCCCGGCTGCAGCCGGCCCTCTGAGTCACCCTGGCCTGGAATGTCTGCTGTGGCCCTCGGGCTGTGGCAGGGGTGGTGAGTCACCGCCGGGAGCTGGCAGAGTCAGCAAGCCCCACAGGCTCTTCTGCTGTGCCAGTCCTCATCCTGGAGCCCCGGTCAGAAGTCGGGAGGGTCCGGGAAGCAGGACCCCGGGGTTCTCTGGCAACAACACTGCCATGGTCCCTTCCTGGGCTGATTGCCTGGCTTCCATGTGTCCCAGACGCCCCTCATGCACCCCCACTCTCTCCACCTGTCTGGGCCACTGGCCTTTGTATCCGGGCTTCCTCTTGCTTTCCCGTCCCCTGTGACCTCTCTGACCCCTCACATCCTGGAAATTCGCCCCAGTGGACTAAGGGTCTGCCAGAGCCCCCTCCCTGTCCCCACCCCTGCACACTAGGGCACTTCTCATGGGGCAGACAGGTTGGTGGAGTTGCCAGTAGATTTACTGAACTATTTTTATCAAGTCCAGCAGGCCCTTCCGATCCCTAGAAACTTCAGAAGGCCGTCTTTTCCATTCCCCAGCCTCCTGAGATGCTCTGGGGGTGGGGGCTGTGGGCTCCCCTGAGCATCTGGCATCTTCTCTGATCTCCTCCCGTGACCCTCCCCACATTCCTTCCTCTCCCAGGGCCCAGGCTACATTCTCCTTGGTGTGTCCACCGCAGGGCCTGAGAGCCAAAGATCAAAGGGAAACAGGTTGGGGGGCTGCTGAGAGGTCCGCTCCAAGAGGGGGTGGGCTGAGAATTTGAAGCAACAAAACTGGCCTTCAGAGCAGCCTGCCCCCAAAACAAATCCCCAGAGCACCAGGCAGGCACTCAGAGCTGCAGGGACCCATTCCAGAACCTTCTTGACTCTGGTTTGGCATCAGACCTAGGGTTTCCAGGGAATGATGTACATACACCCTTCTTGGATAACCTTGTGCCTCCAGGCAGGGGTGCCCAGGTCTTGACACAAACACTTCTGAGCCCATTAACTGTCGCTCAACAGGAAGCAGGATCACAAACACCCCCACATCCCGTTTGGAGGCCAAATCTGAAATGACGTCTAATCACTGCCCGTGGATAGCCAGGAGATGGAATTTGGAGAGCTTGCCCGGAGAGAAGTTTTTCTAGGCGGTAAAAAATGAGTGGTAGGTGAGCGAGGTTTCTAGGAAGCAGAAGTGAATTGCCCCCCCTGGTCCAGCGACCTCTCATCCCACACAAGCACTTAATTTCATGCTGGAGCTGCTTCCTGGCCCCAGAGTTTACCTGGAAAGTGGCCTTTATTAGACCCTGGAGCTAATAAGCAGAGCATGAGCTTGGTTGTTGCTGGTTCAGAGCACTCCGGTGAGTGGAGAAGGAAGAGCCTGGGAAGGCGGCCTTGGGGATCAGCCCAAAATGCAGCTTCCACCCTGTCCCTTCTAGACTGAGCCCTGAGGACAGACATGTGTACTAAGCGCTTGGAGAAAGGCAGACGCAGTACTTTGAGGAGTCTCCAGTCTAAGGGGCAGACATGGCCCTTAGCCTCCAGAAGCTTCCGTAGGATGGGGAATGATAGCCCCCCCGGTTCACACTCCTGATCTCAGAGAGCCCCCAGTCTGATCCGGGAGACAAAGCCCCCACGCTGGAGAGCCCCCAGTCTGACAGGCACAGCATGACCTCAGGGTCCTCCAGTCTGTTGGCACAGACAAGTCCACATTGGGTGTCATAAACCTTTACAGATAGAATTGTAGCTGCCCACCTTCCTTCAAGTTCCCAAGGGGTAAGTACTTCTTTCCCCCACTCTATCCTGCCCCTATGCAGAAAGGCAGCTTGACTGCAAGTTCTCAGTTCCCAGCTACCCCAGGAAACCCCCATCCTTCATGGTCCCTCAACCCTCTCACTCTCCAGCCCTTTCCCCAGCCGGCTGGGATACCCCCCTAGATTTCGCAGTGGGGACATTGCCTCACTGCCAAAGCTGGGGGCCACTATCCAGAGCTGGGTTTCCAACGACTGTGCCCCACTCTCTCGGACCCAGGGGCAGCCTCTTGCCTGTGGGAGTGGTCCTACCCCAGCGAGTGCCACCGGACCTAAGGCACCCTTTCTAACTGAGGACACCTGTAAAGGAAGTAGGGCTAGAAGAATATGGGGCCCCATGCTCAGATGGGAGGAGGGGGGAGAAGAAAGGGGACACTTAAAGTGGCCTACCCCCCGGGCAACTGGAGATACCCAAATGTTAATCATCGATTAGCACAGTTCAGGTGGAAAGGGCAACTTTATTACGCGTAAAATGGACTTAATGTGGCGGGAGCTGTGGACCTAATTTCTTGAGATAAGGTGCTTTTAGGCTAATCAGCAGGTCTGTGATGCCTGGGTATAAAGGAGCTACAGCCAACTTTCTTGAGACAGGCTCCAAAGGACCAGAAGGTAGGAGGAAGAAACCCCTGCCCTGTCCTTCTGGAAGAGCCAGGAAGGAAGCCAGGTAAGAGAGCGGCCTGGACAGAGGATGGATGGAGGGGATACTGGAGAGGCAATCTACTACGTGAGAAATAAGAAAGCAGCTCTCAGCATTCCTGTAACACCCAGGTGACAAAGGCAGGAGGACAAACGAGGTCTGAGCCCATTTCATCCAGGGGGTCTTCAGTAGGGTGAAGAGCAGTAAGGAACCTTCCTCCCAAGCCCTGAAAACCAAAGCTAGACCTAGCCATGTTTGGGCTGCCGGACCCCGTCTTCTTGCAGGGGCACCCTGGAAAGAGCTTCCCTGAGCAGAGAGAGTGAAGCCCGAGAAGGAGAGGATGGAATGGTCCTACTTGTGGCTTTCACTTGGGGCAAGAGGGCTGTGATGGTTTAGGTGACCTCCAATCCGACAGCTGGAAGGCAGGCTGCTATGGATTCTGGAGGCTCCAACGGGAGACTCGCCAAACCACATGCCAGAGAGGTCCAGCCACCGGAGCCGGGAAGGGGGCTGTCAGGCGCACGGGTCTTGGCTGCTTTCTTCTGCCTGGACCTTTCCCCCGCTGCCCTCGTCCAGAGCTCAGTGCCCCCAGCTTGCAGAACCCACACATGCTCTGAGGCATCAGCGGGACGTGGCTGGCCATGCTGACTATCCCTGAGCACGGTGCTTCCCTCAGCCCGGTCCCTTTTCTCTCTTTGCTCAGGAAATCACCTTTGGAAGATGGTGGCCGTGAAGATCTTCGGTCTCCTGCTGGGGTCCCTGCTCCTGGCAGTGGTGCTGGGAGAGAAGGCGGAGGGTCACTCCAGGTAGGGCTGCAGGGGAGGGGTTGGGCACAAGGGAGGATGACCGGGTTCTGGTTCTCCGGGGGAGAGGTGGGAAAGGGAGGAATCCCAGGCCAAGAGGAAAGAAGCCGGAGGGGAAAACCGGCCAGCGTCTGTGTGCAGAGTGAGGACAGAACCCGAGAGTATTTATTACGAGCTACTGTTCCCACAGGAGAGACTGTGGTTAGATCTCTGGAAGGACTTCTCAGTGGTTAAGTGTCTGAAGTAGATGACAGTATCTTCCTTCCTAAGGAAAGCCTTAACCATTCATTTATGTGTGCATTTGATCAAATTGTGGAGAGGGCCCCCTGCGCGCCAGCCACAGGAGATATATTAGTGCTGAGTGGTCCACAAATGCCTCGTGGAACACACGGGCCCCAGGGCGAAACAAAGAACCACCTAGGCGAGTTGCAAACTGTCCTGAGCACTTCGGGGGTGGGGTGGGGGAGCAGAGTGTCATGAACACATGGAGCAGGGGGCTCTGTGCTCTGGAGGACCGAGAGACTTGTCTGAGTAAAGAGCTGCGCCCTGTCGGATGCAGGAACTAGCCATGTGGTCCATCCGTTGCATCCTGTAGATGGGAGGCACGGCCGTCAGACCGTTGCAAGTTGGGGCAACATCAGAGGTTGCGCACTTAGACCTGGGCCCGGATCGCCTGAGGCTAACTCCTGGATCTGCCACCTAAGAGATGTGCTAGATGAATCTCTCTGCCCCTTGGTTTCCTCAATCACAAAAAAGGGCGTAGAAATAGTGTCTACTTCCTAGGGGTGATGAGGGCCAAATGAGTCTGTGTAGTAAAGGGCTTACAGAGGACCTGCCACACAGTGAGGGCCGTTATGGAGGAGCTCACTCTTGTTCCTATCGACTGGGAACAAAGCCTCGAATCGGGGTGGGCCAGGCAAGAGGAGCAAAGGAGGGAACCGAGATCAGTCCTTTGGGATGAGGGGGACCCCTGATCCCTCTTTGCCCCGAAGCCAGAGTCACACACACCGAGGAATGCAGGAAGTGGGTTCTAAAGCTGAGGATAAAGTCCCAGGGGCTTGATGCAGAGACAAGAGGGGGTCTGCATAAAAACGGACTCCCAGGAAACCAGGGCATTTTTCTCAGACACTGGCCTCCTGTCGGTGACAACCACTTGCCCCTGCATTGTGCTTCCCCTCACCCCCTGCCCCTCCTGCGTTGTCCTGGCTTCTCTCTCCCTCTCCCTGCCCCTCAGAGGCCACTCTAAGGTCAGTGGCTCCCGACCTCGAGGCCCCAGGTATGCTGAGGGGACCTTCATCAGTGACTACAGCATTGCCATGGACAAGATCCGCCAACAAGACTTTGTGAACTGGCTGCTGGCGCAGAAGGGGAAGAAGAACGAGTGAGTCGAAGCACACACTCCCTCCGGAGCCCGGGGCTGGCTGTACCTCCGGGCACACTGGGTGCCACGCGGGCCACGCGGGCCACGCGGGCCACGCGGGCCGGCGCCTCCCAGCCCCGCATGGTGCCTTTCACTGAGGCACCGATGGTGAGCTGGGCGACACGGTGGCCCTGACCAGGGCTCAGGCAACTGCTCAGTGTCTGTGTGGGGGGTGGGCGGGGGGCAAGGCAATTTTCCACTCCTTTTCTTCTTTTTTTTTTTTTTTAAAGATTTTATTTATTTATTTGAGAGAGAACGAGATAGAGAGAGCATGAGAGGGGGGAGGGTCAGAGGGAGAAGCAGACT